GTTCTGCGGGTCACGCTATTGGCAATTAATAAGCTGAGCAGAGAATTGAGCCGACATGTGAGTTGAATTTCCCCGAGTTGCGGGTTGTTTGATGTTCTGACGGGTAATTCTTAATACTTATGCGGTAATGCGAGTACTTTATGCGTAGTTCTGAGATAACAATGGATTTGATTATATAAAGTAGGGTTTAGCACAAGGGGTTTATGTTTTCATCTTGCCGATTCGACTAAGACTTTGTGAGAAAAGTGTCCTTATCCCAGCGCAACTGAAGAACCTTTTCTCAAATCCCAAGCACAAAAACCGTTTCAATTTCCCAGTCTTTTCAAGAACTTGCAGTTAGTCAATCGTAATTTTCAAATAGAAGCTCCAAAAAAGATCTGCAGAATATATAATAAGATGTAAAAAGTTTTAGGCAGAATTTAACTTTAATTTCGGCCATCTGAGTTGCTAATCCATGGTTTTAAGACGTGTAATAACTAATAAATACATTCAATATGCTTCTCATGGTATTAGTTAGCCTATCGGCGATCTTTTTAAAGTCCTAAAGGCTGTTCAGACATTCTAACTTAATGTTTGCAAAATAAAAACTAATCTTTGAGAAATGGGTCCCACGAATTGTGCATACGTGGTTTCGGTCTACTTTTATGTGCGTAAGGTAAATCTTTATAGATTAGGACAAAAAGTAAAAAAAAATTATTGTTTTTTGGAGCATATCCGCAAACACAACATGCATAAAAACCCCATACCATAAGGCATCCTAATTAACTCTAGTTTCTGACGTGGAATGAAGGATTACCATCCAGCCTAACCTTTGAAGATTGAAAATACCATTTTTTGGCTTGATACGCTGTATGCATTTTGATCCTCGTTGATTTATAATGGTGTTCTTCCTCTCCCTTATCGATATTCAATCGCTTGAAAACCTCTTTCCCTCCATTTCTCCTGTTTAATCATCCCACTCACAAGCTACTTTATTACTTCTTTATCCTAACAAGTGAAATTT